TCTAAAACAAACAAACCAATAGCACACTGGAGGACTCCAACTGGAATAAACACATGTTCACCTTAAGATTCCTAAGTCAGAGTTCTATTAAGTTTAATGGGACTTACTCCAGGAATAGGATTGCAGCTTTAAAGATGTTAACCAGGGATGGAGAATCTGTACTTCTACTGATTTGTTGGACTCTAACTCCCATCAGCCTTTTCCAGCATGGCCAGTGGTCAGGGATGATGGGAGTGTATATAAGGACCACAGTCTGACCACCCCTGATTTAAAGAGAGCCAGAAAATTACTGAGGAATCTGAAGCTTAATCCCTGAAATCTAAATGTCAGAGAAATTCAGGGAACTCAGATAGTGTGAACATAGAAACTGTACACTGAAAGCGCTTTAAAAAAGACAGGCACTTCTATTTGAAAGGTGGAACAGAGAACAACATACCTGTATCTTACGAGACCTGTGTTCTCTGCTTTTTAACAAAATCAGGCCACAGCTCTATCAAGTCCAGCATTCTGTTCTTCTAGTTGCCAATCAGATGTCAATGGGTAGCCCCAAAGCGGGACCCAGGTGCAATTTCAGTGAATTACTTGAGTCATTTTCAATATATTACTCTTCACCCAATTCCATCTCAGAACTTGGGGACTATGAAAATCCAAACCCTCATTAAACCCAACAAGAAGTCCATCAGGGCCTCCTACCTCACTTAGCAAGTTATGCAGTTGTCAGCCTAACCTTTTCTCCTTTAGTCTATTGTCATCCTTAAATAGTATAGTCAGGTGAGATAGGGAAAAAAGATAACAACAACACAATAGCTTGGTTCCCCCTCCCCAATGCTGAACTACAGTTTAGTGCTCTGTGCCCAATCTGCAATGAATCTTAAGTGCAGGCTTGCAGGCTTTGCCCTCCCCTCCTGTCTCCCCATAACTACAGAGGAAGACTTCACTGGAGGTCAGTTTTACCTTCAAAGAATGTAAGCTTGTGAGGTATGAACCAGGAATCTTGGCTTACCGCTAACTTTGCTTCGCCAAACAAACCAGCTTCCATTAACCTATTGCTGGAAGTCAGTTTGTTTTGAAACCTACCAACCCGTGTTATGCTAGGGAGCACCAAGTTCTTCTCATCATTGAGAATGGGAGGGGAGAGAGAAACAGAGGGCTATTTGTACAATATCTACCATTGTATGGATGCATTTTGTACTTCAGACTATCAAAATATTGGCCTTTTGTGTTGTGCCCCTCAGGTTGTGGCACTCTCTTCCCAGGGAGCCTCAGTTGTTCCCCTCTCTTTTAAGCTTCAGGTGAACTGCTAAGATCTTTTTATTTCACCAAGTTTTTCAATGGAGTTGATATTTCTATCCTGCACTGTTATACCTTCCTCTTGGTTTCCATGTATAAAATGTTTGAAATGCTTACTAAAGCTTGACCTATTTTTACTGTTGCTTCGATTGTTTCATTATGCTTTGTGATGATCCAGGTGCTGGCTGTAAGATGCTTTAAGTTTATTTGATAAAGAAAAAAATAAAGACCAAGAAAAGTGGGGTTTAAATATGTAAACAAACAAATTTATGACAGCGGAGACAGGCAAAAAGACAAGACAAACTGAATGACAGATAATTTATCTTTCCCACTTACCCACCCACCCCCAAAAGCAAACCCCCACACCTTTTCGGCTGCAATACCATGCACACTAGGGACGCGGTGGCGCTGTGGGTTAAACCACAGAGCCTAAGGACTTGCCAATCAGAAGGTCGGCGGTTTGAATCCCCACTATGGGGTGAGCTCCCGTTGCTTGGTCCCTGCTCCTGCCAACCTAGCAGTTCGAAAGCACATCAAAGTGAAAGTAGATAAATAGGTACCGCTCCAGCGGGAAGGTAAACGGCGTTTCTGTGTGCTGCTCTGGTTCGCCAGAAGTGGCTTAGTCATGCTGGCCACATGACACGGAAGCTGTACGCTGGCTCCCTCGGCCAATAAAGCGAGATGAGCGCTGTAACCCCAGAGTCGGTCACGACTGGACCTAATGGTCAGAGATCCCTTTACCTTTACCATGCACACTTACCCGGAAGTAAGACTCATTGAACTCAGTGGAATGCACTTCTGAGCAGACAGCTCAGTTGGTTAGAGCTTGGTGCTGATAAGACCAAGGTCACAGGTTCAATCCCCCTAAGGGACAACTGCATATTCCTGCATTGCAGAGAGTTGAACCAGATAGTCCTCAGGGTCCCTTCCAACTCTGATCTATGATTCTATGATATATAAGATAACACCGCTGTCCGGAGAAGATTTCTGATAAACAGTATAATCTTATACATGCCTACTCAGAAATAAATGTCAATGAATTCATTGAGATTTCTTACTAGGTAAATGGATTACAGCCTTAACCATCTGAAAGCATAGCTAGTAACTGAACAGATGAATTTTGTTCCTGTGTGATTTGTCCCCAAATTCAGGTAGCAATTCTATGCATACTTACTTAGGAGTAAGTCCCACTGAACAGATGTGTAATCTTTTTGGGAAAGGGCGGGGGAGTAACTGGTTCCAAGATCCCCCGATCCCTGGGTCACACAGTTGCAGGAGCTTTAAATTCAGCAGTACGTTTATTCAGTAGTGTGAAGGAGACTAACTTAATACAGATGTCTCAGTGGGCATAAGTGATAGGTTAAAAAGAAAGAAAGAAAAAGATTGAACTCAACCTGAGGCCTCTGGAAGTCTGACTGGAAATCACAGGCTTGCAGACCAGCAGGTTTCCCTCATGAAAGTATGAAGTAAGTTCAAGCTGAGTCAACTCCAAATACACAACCCAAACTGGCTGAAGGGAAAGCAGCCAGCATGGAAAATATGTGTGGATGGTGTACGTGCAAGAGGTCAACTGCACAACATTTCTCTCAGGAAGACTGCATTCAGCTCTCAAGACAAACATCCTGATTGGAGTTTTGCAGCACAATTTTCAGCACTGCCTGATTAAGAAATAACCATCTTTAACTCCATGCTGCATACAAAATATGCTTCCTTGTGTAAGCAATAATGATTAATTTATGTCTGTTAAGGTTCACCTCAGCTTCCAATGATGGGATATTTTTCCCACCTCCAGATGCATTCCAGATGGCCAGATGTTCTATCTAGGGACCTGTGTGGTTTGCAGATTTATTCAGTTCTCCTGAGAGACCCTCTTTCTAGGCATCTACTCCTACACCACACACAAGAAAAGCAGTAGCTCTCTCAAACTGTTCTGGCACTAGAGAAACAAAACCATGGAGTGGGCAAGACAATTTCATTATCTTACAAAGCAGTGCCTATGGAAATCCAGAAGGGAAAGATGTCGATTATAATCATATTTGTGAGTTGCTTAAAAAAAAAAGTCTCAGAGTGACTTGATTTGATAAACACAACAGATAAAAATAATTAAAATAAAACAGTGAAGACAGTTGATAATAAAATGCGCTTTGGGTGGGGTTGCATGGCTGACCTGGAGAGGGGCGAAGCAGCAGGGAGCTTGGTGTGGTGAGGGCACAGCAAGAGCATCAGTTTGGCTCTGCTGCTGTGACTATACTGTTTTCCTGCCACCTTGCCCTTCTCTCTCTAACCAGGAGCAATGCCTGAAATAGGGATACCAGGTCCACACTGCAGCCCTACCCATACCCCCTACCACTAATGCACATCGTAAACTCTTTTCAGAAGATAATGAAGCTGGAACATGTGCAAAGGAGGGTGATGCCCTCATGGTAAAGAATCTGGAAACAAAGCCTTATGAGGAATGGTTGAGGGAGTTGGGCATGTTTAGCTTGGAGAGGAGAAGACTGAGAGGTGATATGATGGCCATCTTCAAATATCCCCTGGAAGATGGAGCAAGCTTGTTTCTTCCAGCTCTGGACAGTAGGACCCAAACCAACAGATTCAAATTACAAGAAAGGAGATTCTGACTAAACATTGAAAACATAGAATTGTAGAGTTGGAAGGGACCATGAGGGTCATCTAATCCAACCCCCTGGGATGCAGGAATCTTTTGCCCAGTGTGGGGCTCGAACCCCTGATCCTGAGATTAAGAGTCTCATGCTCTACCGACTGAGCTATCCCAGAGTGAGCTATCCCATTAGGAAGAACTTTCTGGTGGTAAGAGCTGGTCCACAGTGGAATGAGGTACCTTTGAAAGTGGTGGACTGTCCTTCATTGGCAGTTTTTAAACAGAGATTGGACGGCCATCTGTCAGGGGTTCTTTAGCTGTGATTCCTTTATTGCAAGGGGCTGGACAAAATGAATTCTATGATTCTATGTTGATTGAAATGTGTAGGCAGTCCCATATAAGATCTGGTGAGATTTTCTATAAGGTTTTTAGGGAGAAGAGGCTAAACTCTATAATGATATATTTCAAACAAAGGATTAGCAAGGGGGTGAAAGTATGCTGCCTTTTCTCAGCCTCAGCATCGTGTTACACTGGCTCCAGAATAGAGTGAAGGAAAGTATATTCCCATCAGATTCCTGAATCCATTTTTATGCTGTTATCAAATTTCAGCTGACACTACCCTTAGCTGCTTGAGAACACATGCCATTAATCTAGCATTCCTTAAGCACCAATTATACCCGAGAGTCTATGAATTAAGTGGAGATAACAAATAGCCAGAGCGGCATTTAAGCTGTTTGGGTTTAACATTGTTGTTAATCAGGCTAAAAGTGGGCTGGACAAGCTATGTGCTTTCAAAATGCACCTTCAGAAATTAAACAGAAAGGAAAATATCACACCAGCTTCAATTTACAGCTACTTATGACTGGTCTGTTGTAAATGGGCAGGTATAATGGATTGTAGCCAGAGCCTCCTGTTACGTAAGATCCTGAACACATACTTCAATATCTGTAGAAAAACAAGGAAGTGCCACCTTAAGGTTTTAGTTTTTTAAAATTAATGTGATATAAGCTTTCATGGGACACAGTCCATTTCATCAGATGCAATCCTAAATTGGCATGTATAGATAAGACTAGAGGGAAATAAAATGCAGACAGTTTGGACAATTATATTAAAGCTTAAGTGTGTGTAACTTTATTACAGTGACCATTCACACAGCAGTGACCATAACACAAACATCCTGGAACTGGTAAGCTAATTCACACCTGTAGAGGGATAAAAGTCCATTATCTTGATTCTGGCTACAGATGATAGAATCAAACTTAGTAGTTTCACACTGGTGTCTCTTTTCAAAGTTCCTTTGTTCAAGACTGGCCACTTAAGGCTGGGATTCATTTCCTCCGGTTTCTGCATACTGAGCTTTTTGATGTCAGATCTGTTCCCATTTATTCTTTTGTGTTGGGATTGGCTTGATTGTCCTATGTAGAATGTTGAAGGGTATTGTTGGCATAAGGAGTCAGTGCTAGCAGTCATCAGCAAAAGGTTTTGAATACCATACACAAACAAAGATTATTTTTTTAAAAAAATAAATAAATCCCGTAATAGCATTTCTAGCCATCAGTTAAGAGGAAATGGTTGACTGAAGTTTAAGATTAAAGGAATGTAACAAGAAGAAATCTATTTTTAGATGGCAAGCTCACAATTACGGCAGCAGTTATAATCAGACTTAAAATGAGCAGTCTAGCACTTCATTTCTCAGGAGGCTGTAATCTCAGCTACTTAAGACAAGTTTATTAGAGGTTGCACATTTGTGTAGTCACACAGTTTCCTAAATCATGGTGTGCCTCCTATGGCTTTTGTTCTTTCTGATATGTCTTTGACTTTTGAGTCTGAACACAAAAAACAGAAATCTCTTTAGCACTAGACACATTAATAATGTGTTTCCAAGGCATGTTGAGGAGAAGGTTAAAAGTGCCATAATGAAATATTTTTGAATAATATTTGAAGAGTTTTTTTTCCATGCGACTGGGAGAAACAGAGAATGTTCTGAACTTTCCATTATTTCAGTCTGTTCACTTTTATTTGCCTGATTCTGAATGAGAGAGTTGTTGTTATAATTGATGCAATCCACATCCTTCTCAAACCCCTGGCCAAACTCCAGCTTGATGTTTCTACTGACCAATGTCAACCTTTGCATGTGCGAAATCTATTTCTCGTTCTAAAATTGGCAAATCTTATTTTCAGCTGCCCTGCTGAGGAAGTGTTTTAATAACTCAGATATCAGGCATGGCAAGTTAACTGAAAGCAATAGCCAAATACATATCCTGTAATAAAGGCCTCTTGGGTCATATTAAAACGAAAAGAAAAGAATAAAGAGTCAAGCTAGGTTACTGAAATAACTACTTTTCACCCAGTCTTGACAAAATTCCACACTTTCAATGCAGCCAACCAATGATATCATGGGTTCATTGTACTAACTTTTCAAACATTAATAGAAAGGTGGGGGGTAACTTTTCACTGAATGGGGGGGGGACAGAAAATGTGGGCTAAATTGCAGGAGAAAAAGAATGAGCTGCGTCATTCCATAAAAGCCACTAAAGATCAGACTAGTGGAGATGAATGAAGAATGATTCACCGCCCAGACAACACAAGGCCTGTTGACTTCTACCAGACATGTCAGATTCCCCATCTGTTCAAAGAATCTTCATAGCACAGAGGTGATGTAGTTTGCCATCATGAGAGATGTTTTCCTATGGTTCTGACCTCCGCCCCGCTTCACAAACGCTGTTTGATTGCCTTCAGAGTTTTATGTGACTTGGAGCCCCTTTCCATGTCCCCATAGTGGTGTGGGCTTACTCTCTGGTCAATAAGGGTAGAGTGGCTAGAGTCTCAGACTAGGACTGGGGAAATCCAGGTTCAAATCTCCACTCAGCCATGAAGATTACTGGGTGATCTTGGGCCACTCTCAAACCAGATCAGCCTACCTTTCAGGGTTGTTGTGATGATAAAATGTGAGGGAGAACCATGCTTGCTGTCCCTTAGAGCAGTGTTTCCCAACCGGTGTTCCGCGGCACACTAGTGTGCCGCGAGACGTTGCCTGGTGTGCCGCGAGATGTTGCCTGGAGGGAGGCGGGCGAGTCGGGCGGCGAGAGGCGGGGCGGCGGGCAGCTCGTAGAGGAAGCGTGACGCCCCGGGAGCAGCCATGGCCCCCCGGCCCCGACTGCCACTCTCCGCGCCCTCCGCGCCCCGGGCCAGGCCATAGGAGAGCCAGGCGCCGATGACGGAGGAGGCCGGCCGCGGGAAAGGGGCCACTTCCCCTTTAAATGCCGCTCCGGGCGGGGGAGGGAAGCGGCCCTCCGCCGCGCCGCTCTGCGCCTGCGCCACAGGCCCCGGGGAAGAGCGCTTCGCAGGACTCGCGGGCCAGGCGGAGCCACCTCGAGCGCCACCCAAGCGGGCGTCTCTATAGCGACGGACCCGCCCTTTCCGCTGCCCTCCCGCGCTGCTCTGGCTCCGCCTAGCGGCCCGAGGAGGAGCCGCGCAGCCTGTCGCTGCCGCCCCCACGGAGCCTGAGGCGAAATGCGCAGGGGCCGCCGCCGCGCCGAAGCCTCCCTTCCGGGGTCCCCTCGGGGCCATTGGGCGGGGCTGTCGCCTCCTGGACGCCGCAGCCCCGAGCTCGTGGATGTAAACCAAGAGATGGACTTGCTTGGGAGGAAGTTCCGTTGTACCAGCGGGAGTTATTTCCTAGTAAATATGAAACACTTGGGGATATTAGGTTGAGACTGAGGGGAGCGTGGCTGGTAGCCTGAAACATCCGGAGGGCGCAGGGCTGGCGAAGGCTGGGGGAGCACGAGACTTCGACAGTCTTTTCAGTATGTTACAACATAAAACTGCTGGAGCAAGTTAACATATTTTGTTACCTTGTGCATTAAAAGGACCGTATGTAAGAATATAAGTGGGTTTGCTTCGTTCCATAGGATTCACACCTCAGAGTGCAATGGCAGGCAGATCTTAGAGCCAGCTTCTGTCTATGTATCTGAAACCTGTTCTGCCCCCTCCCCCACACTTGGTGCCATTTTCATCTACACATGGAGCAGAGTAAGTTGACCCAGAATAGTACCAATTCAGATGGCAGATGGGAGAATGACAGTGCTGAATGCTTTCCCATGTAGAACAGTCCCTGCAAATAAAAACCTAGCATATTTGGAAGAGGGATGCTAGCCTAACCATTACCTTCTATGCTGTTACTATTTTTTTATTTTTTTTTTACATAAGTAAAAAGTGACCTTTCCCCATCTGGCATGGTGGTGTGCCTCGAGATTTTTTTCATGAAACAAGTGTGCCTTTGCCCAAAAAAGGTTGGGAAACACTGCCTTAGAGGAAAGATGGGGTTACTGTGGTAATGCTTCAAGTCCCAGCACTACACAGACAGGGCCAATTGTATGACTCCTCTCTAGACATTTGTTGACTTCCCCCTCTTGGCTGTGGCCGAGTGGAAATTACCTGTGCTTTCCTGTCACTGTGAAGCTGGGCTTTCAAATATTATTACCACAGAGTGAGAAAAGTGATTCCTGTGCCACTGTAGTAATACATGAAAAGGTCCCCCGCTGACATCCAAAATGTAGGGCCAAAACGTTTCGTCAATTACTTAACACCTTTGCATTTATTAAAAAGTTGTCCTTGATGAATCTGACAGTTGACTGAAAAGTGGTAGCATTATAGAAATGCTTCTAAAACCTGCAGGTTCCACATGTCACCTAAGAAGAAGTACTGTCCGCTTTCTTACAGACAGGACAGGCATGCGTCTTCTTAGATGCTGCCTGCGATGACATGGATATTGATCCTTTAAAAGCAAAGAAAACAAAACTTTCACCCCAGAAGTATTGCTCTTAGTCACACATAGTTGGGCAGGGAAATCCTATCCACACATAACTCTGGGCCAAGAGACATTGCCAACTCTACATGGGTTGAATCGCGGCCATATTCAATGGGAGGGTGGCAATGATGTCACATGACTTTTTGCTGACTGTACAGTACTTGAAAGTACACTTCTTTTGATTATAATCCTGCAGTACTAAATAGAGAATGCATGCTTTATATTGCATACATTATCACACACCTCATCCCTGCTGCTCCGGCACTTCCTGGTTTCATTCTGGGCTGTGTGCCAGAGCTCCCAGCACTGACCTCAGTCATTGACTTCATCCATCTTCTGTTGACCCTTGTCCATGCATTCCATATTGGACCTCCCAGCTTGACCAAGGGAAAAGAGTAGCATTGTTGACCAAGGGAAAAGAGTAGCTAGTTAAATTCAAATATGTACAGTTATAGAGAGGCTAAACTCAGATTAAGCCACCCTAATCACTCCACTTTCGCTGATGTTTGGCTTTCAGATGTCTCAGTCCATGACATCAGTCAGTGGCAGAGCACATGCTGTTAGAATGGAAGATTCCAGTTCCTTCTCCACCTCTAAGGAAAACAAACTGGGGGAGACTGGGAACCAAGCTACGTGCTATGCTAATATAGGGCATGAGGGTATACAATCTACCGTATTTTTCACCTTATAGGACGCACTTTTTCCCCTCCAAAAATGAAGGGGGAATCTGGGTGCGTCCTATGGGGCGAATGACCCCCTCACTCTCCAGGCTTCAGGAAGACATCCGCAGCCTAGGCAGCCCTGCGGATTGCAGCCTGCCACCCGGCGCGAGGGGCGCCCTGAAGCAGAGCGCCCCTCGCACCGGACAGACATCTGCAGCATGGGGAGCCCTGCAGAAGTTCCCCGCAGGGCGCCCCATGCTGTGGATAGCAGCCTGCCACCCGGTGCGAGGGGCGCCCTGAAGCAGAGCGCCCCTCGCACCGGGCAGACATCCGCAGTGTGGGGAGCCCTGCAGGAGTTCCCCGCAGGGCTCCCCACTCTGCGGATAGCAGCCTGCTGCCCAGCGGGTGTTGCGCGCTGAAGCAGAGCGCCCCGCGTGCCGGGCAGACATCGGCCAGCCCCACAAGCTCGGGGGACAGCAGGGAGGCGCAGCGCCGCCATCCCGCTGTTCCTCGACCTGGTTCGGTTTCCCCGACCTGGTTTGGGGGGGGGAATAAAGGGGGGAAATTTCCTTTATTTCCCCCCAAAAAACTAGGTGCGTCCTATATTATATATTTAAAAAAAATTAAAAAAAAATTAGGGGTACTGTCATTTTGACTCAAGAAAATCACCATTTTATAGTTCAAATCGGGGAAAATAAATACAGTAAATGGACAAAATTACAAAGAATATTCATTATCTCATGTTACAAAGCTGACACCTCACCGTAATTTCCACACTGGCATGGGGTTGTGTCCACTAACATCTTCCCGACTTTCATCAGTAAAACACCACACATCCACATTTCACACTGCTTCACAAATTAAATGCTCGCCAGTGTGGTGTAGTGGTTAAGAGCGGTAGTCACGTAATCTGGGTAACCGGGTTCGCGTCTCCGCTCCTCCACATGCAGCTGCTGGGTGACCTTGGGCCAGTCACACTTCTTTGAAGTCTCTCAGCCCCACTCACCTCACAGAGTGTTTGTTGTGGGGGAGGAAGGGAAAGGAGATTGTTAGCCGCTTTGAGACTCCTGAAGGGGAGTGAAAGGCGGGATATCAAATCCAAACTCTTCTTCTTCTTCCGTCTGAGACTCAGGAAACACCGGGAAAGGAAATGAGGCCACCATTGGGGGTAGCAATGGAACTGACAATTCACCATGCTAGAGAAGAAACTATTTTTTTATAGTTTCTTATCCCATTAGATTCACAAAATGTTTAGGGGTATGCGTACCCCTGCACCCCCCCCCCGAAAAAGCACTGCATGTTTATTTATAAAAGGTAAAGGTACCCCTGCCCGTACGGGCCAGTCTTGACAGACTCTAGGGTTGTGCGCCCATCTCACTCAAGAGGCCGGGGGCCAGCGCTGTCCGGAGACACTTCCGGGTCACGTGGCCAGCATGACATCGCTGCTCTGGCCAGCCAGAGCCGCACACGGAAACGCCGTTTACCTTCCCGCTAGTAAGCGGTCCCTATTTATCTACTTGCACCCGGGAGTGCTTTCGAACTGCTAGGTTGGCAGGCGCTGGGACTGAGCGACGGGAGTGCACCCCGCCACGGGGATTCGAACCGCCGACCTTTCGATCGGCAAGCCCTAGGCACTGAGGCTTTTACCCACAGCGCCACCCGCATCCCATATTTATTTATATCCCACCTTTAAAAGATAAAACCCTCACAAGGTGGCTGGCAATAATGAGTAGATACAGTATCTAGAACTGGTGTGGTGTGGTAGTCAGAGTGTTGGACTGGGAATGGGGAGGCAGGGTTCAAATCTCTACTTAGCTCTAACCGTCACTTGATGTCATGGACGGGTTGGATGCACAGGAATGGTGGGAGGAACCAGCTGAGGAACCCTCAAGGGAAGAAGGCCCAGAGACCGGGAAGAGGTGGTGGTATGATGATGGGTGGTCTGAGGGAGAAGAGAGAGAAGACTGGGAAGGGGAGGTCCCGGAAGCTGAGGAGCTAACAAGTCTTAGTGAGCTGGGAGAGTCTGTGGCAGAGAGAAGTTCAGAACGAGAGGCATGAAGCCAAAGCAGGCAAGTGGGAGGAAGGAGGCCAAGAGGCAGAGATGAGTCAGGCTGGTGAAGAAGCACAGTGGGTCAGCCTCTCCTGCTTTGACAAGCTTCTCTCCCCTCTGATCTTCCAGGGCCAGGAGATGCAGGAAGCAGGCATGCTGGCACAGTCTCAGATTGCTGGGGGAAACCCTGGAGGGGACTTAGATGGCTGTGGGGAGGTGGGGACTTTCAGTCTCGGCAACTGATTCATGGGGTAAGACCTACTGGAGATGAGCGGTTGTTTTCATTAGGCCTGACAAGCCTGTGAAGATCATATTTCTCCTAGTAAATTGTTAACTCCAACGTTGAACAGTATGATTTACTGCCAGCTCGTTCTGTGACACTGGATGACCTCGAGCCACTCACTGTCCCTCTGCCTAACCTACTTCCCTGGGTTGATGAGAAGGATAAAATGTGGAGAACTATGGACACCATCTTGAGCACCTTGGATGCTGAAAGCTGGAGTTTAATTGAAATAAATCAATAGACAGACAGATAGAAGGCTTAAAAGCGAAAGAGGCAGTCCTATAGCAAGATATGCTAGGATGTAAAAGTTAAAGGGACCCCTGACCATTAGGTCCAGTCGTGGACGACTCTGGGGTTGTGGCACTCATCTTACTTTATCGGCCCAGGGAGCCGGCGTTTGTCCGCAGACAGCTTCTGGGTCATGTGGCCAGCATGACTAAGCCGCTTCTGGTGAACCAGAGCAGCACACGGAAACGCCGTTTACCTTCCCGCCGGAGTGGTACCTATTTATCTACTTGCACTTTGATGTGCTTTCGAACTGCTAGGTTGGCAGGAGCAGGGACCGAGCAACGGGAGCTCACCCCGTCGTGGGAATTCGAACCGCCGACCTTCTGATCGGCAAGTCCTAGGCTCTGTGGTTTAACCCACAGCACCACCCGCGTCCCGTGCTAGGATGAGTGGGGTTCAAATTAATCAAACATCTAGCTGAGCTGAGAGCTTCCCAGTGTATCTTCTCCATCCCAGCTCAACTGGGCTTCTGCCAGCTAAGCCAAGTCTGGTGGAGCTCAAGCTGGGGGTGGGACCAGAGAGGGAGAACTTAGGCTGGATCCTAAGTCCATTCAACTCAGTCACATGACCTGGCCACCTGGACTAAGTTAAGTCAGCGAAAAGGGTGGTGCAGCTCAGACACTATTTTAAAGGCTTGTTTAGGCCGACACAGCCGGTGGTAGCCCTGCTCCTGAATGGAGTTTGGATTTGGTGTACTTTATACCAGTTTAATTTACATCAAACTTGCTTTACGCCAGCCTCATGGGTATAGGATTGCTCCTGAACTAGGAAATTAAACAATTATAAGCAATTAAACATGAAGTGAAATAAAGCCAGCAGTGAAAAACTGGATGAAATTCAAAGGTGATTTAAAATAAATAAATAAATCCATCCATCCATCCACTTAAAAACCATCAGTGAGGGTACCACGTCCACCTCCTGGGGGAAAGGATTGCAAAGATGAAGGTCTACCATTAAAGGTTTCTCCCTGCCCTCCATCAATCTCATGGTATTTAGCGGCAGGCCTGCAAGCAGTGCCTTTCTGTGGATTTAAATCTCTGCCAAATTAAGATTTTTGTATATTGAATATTTTATAAGGGCACTGCTGGGGAAAGGGAGTGAAATGATAAAAAAGCTCTTCACTGTCAGAAGTGTGCCAAAACAGAAACTCAATTTTTTTGCCTCAAAGGCAGGCCTGCTTTGCTCATAAAATATTTAGTCAGGTGTTTTTTTTTATGTAATGTGTTAATTTTAAAACATTTAAACAGATATTTAGCAGCTCTTTAAAAGTCCACCCACAGAAGAGGGTAAACAAAGGACACAGTATATCAATCTGGGCTGGACACAGGAAGCTGGTTTTCAAAGATCCCAACAGATAAGGCCAAACCACAACTAGATTTATGTTCCCCCCGGAGAAATCTGTGCTGAGAAATCTTCATCCCACTCCACTGACCATTTGTTGGTGTCAGAGTTCCAGCAGATATGTAGACAAAGAATTCCTCCTACAGTGAAGGGTATGGGAGAAACCACTTCATGTGACCTTGAGGTTGCATTTTCAAGCATTGGGTTGTGTATGGGGCTCTGGGTTTAAGGATGGAGGCAAAAACAGATTCTGTTCACACTAACAGAACCTATGTTCAGTGGTACCTCGGGTTACAGACACTACAGGTTACAGACGCTTCAGGTTACAGACTCCACTAACCCAGAAATAGTACCTCAGGTTAAGAACTTTGCTTCAGGATGAAAACAGAAATTGCATGGTGGCAGTGCGGCGGCAGCGGGAGGCCCCATTAGCTAAAGTGGTACCTCAGGTTAAGAACAGTTTCAGGTTAAGAATGGACCTCCGGAACAAATTAAGTTCTTAACCCAAGGTACCACTGTAATTCACATTTTCCAAAACAATAAGAGAACTGAAACCCTTCAAAATGTACAATTCTCCGAATTAGTTCTTCGGTCATGTAACGTGTTTAAAAATGCAGACACTGGGGTAAAGTGTGCACAGAAATGCATATATTACTGAAAATGACACACACAATTGCAAGCAGGAAGAGAGGTAGCTAGCTCAGCCCATACACTAGGGCCATTGAACCATTTGTTTCGTTAGCAAGCAGGTGCCAGGCAGAGTGTGGGAGCGAGTGAGTTC